AATTTCCTCTATTTAATTTTTACAGACTTTCTTTTTTCTAATATTTTAAAAAACGAAAGTTTTTTATGCTGAAAACAGCACAAAACACGGTTTATTTATGCATGATTAATTTGGTCAATCAAGTAACTAACCAATGACTGTACTCCGATCCGTGTCTCAAAAGGGGCTTTTCTCAAGGTAAACAGGCAGGTGTACTTCGGAAGTGTTTTTGGTTGTCGGCAGCAGTTCTCAAGTTCATAGTCCGAAGAAGTCATTTTAGACGACGATCTAAGAGGTTCCGATGCTCATTCGCTTCTTCACCTGTGAAACACAGGCTGAAATTTCGGTACTGGTCAATCATCAGACTGACCAAATTTTTTCGTCGTCTATCAGTAAACCGTGAACTGTGCTGTTCTCAATATGATGACCAACGCAAGAACCAAATACTTGCTCTCAGTACACCTTTAGAGACTCTTCAACCAGCAGACTTTTAACTTATTACTGCATCAATTGACGACCGATGTCATAGGCGCAGTCGGTGTCTTCTTGAAGGTCTGTCGACCGATCGGTGTTCAGTGGTATATGTTAGATCAAAGTGTGCCAGTGTTGGCAGATACGAGAAACGGATGACTTGATACAGCGTGGAAACTGTACTCTTACAGAGGCGGTGAATCCTTTGAAAATCGAAGAAGCATCAGAGCCACGCGCGCTTCGTTTTCGGTGTCGTTCGTGGCGAAGATAAACGATAACCTCCCTAGCGACAGAAAGCAAATTTACACGAGATACGACAAGGGGCCATAATGAGTTGATAACAAAACTTCGATGATTAATCTGGCGTGTGACAGATCAATTTTCAGTGCCGTGGCTAATCATGCACTTGTAGATCAAATTTTCTTCTCCAAAAATTACAACCAAAGAACAAGAATGTATGCAAAGCTAACCCCCAGTATTTTGATTGTTTTTTGAGGAACATTTTATTCACGTTTATTTACGCCCTTCTCTGAATTCGAAAAATATGTGCTTCATTACAAGAACAGTGAGGAACATCGCTGCGTGCGTTTTATCGTTTCATAATTCACAATTAACTGCAGTTAGCTCTTACCTGCAATAAAACAGAAATAATATTCCATAGTCTTCATGTTTCTTACCAAACTGCTCCGCCTATACACTTTGGTATAGAAATTACCGACGTTTCGAGTCACACTTGGCTGTAGCAAAGATTCATAACTCCATGACCGGATGATTAGCGCGAATTGTTCGTTAAGAAGAAACGAAAGAAATGTAACGTTATTATGGCACCATAACTGTTCGCGTTGTAAATGATAATCATAAGCCATTGTCGATTCGCCGCTGGATCGCAAAACTTCGCGGTAGACCTCATTTTCTGTCATTTTCATTCATCTGGATCCAGCGAATTTCCTCTGCTTATCCTGCCAATGATCTGCAGGGTTTTCTAAGCTCCTTTTTTCTCTCTTCCTCCAGCGAAGGTCGGTTGATCATGTAACGTATCAAACACATTTTCATTTTAACCTCATCACTCAAATAAAGACATCGCAGACTCTTGTTCGTGCTTTTATCAATTCATTCGTCTTCCGATCATTTCTTCTTATTCCCAGCATAAATATTTCCATTCTGCGCTGTGCTGTCTGCAGTTTAAGAATAGCTTATTGTCTACTTTTTGCACCCACACATCGATCGAAAACATCCCGTTGCAAGGATAAGGGCTAGTGTTAAATAGGAACATTTTCTGCCTTCCAAAAGTATTTTATACCACTGTCGTTTCTCTGTTAATTTCTCATAGTCCGTTCTCGGCTGCAGAGCTGAAATGGCCCAAATGGACAGACGTAGTTTTGCATTTCCTCAACCCTGGGTCCACTGACTTCAGTAGGTCACGGGATCGCATATTTGTTGAGCATGACTTGAGACTTATTCAAGTTTATCTCCAGTC